GTGCCCATTTTCGTGTCAGTCGGCCCCTGTCCCTCCTTCCTGGTACCATGCCTTCTGCTATAATTTTTTTCCAGTCTGTTGTGGCGCTTGATATGACCAAAATATTTCAGCTTCTGAAAAAGGATGCTGTTAATTAGCCAATCTTCCTTGATGTTCAGATCTTTTAAGATGTCAATATTTCTCCTTTTCTTTGTCCAAGATACTCTGAGAATCTGTCTATTGCATTTCAGCTCAAAAGCTCCTATTCTCTTTCTTAAGGACTGAGAGATAGTCCATGACTCACATCCGTACGTAGCCACAGGGAAGATGCATGCTCTCAGAATTCTAATTTGTATCTCCTTGCTAGTGACACTGTCGTCACTTGTACATATAAAGATTTTCTGAGTTTACACTACTCTCATTGCCCGGCTCTCTAACGAAGTTGGTTAAACCTGACTTTCGCGGCGGCCGGGTGAAGAATTCCTTGTGGTCCGGGTTCACTCCCGGGGGGTAGGCAGAAAAGCCACATTTCTCCCAGATTAACGGTACCTATAATGAAATCAATGCCGAAGGGTTGCGATATCCATAGTACCGAGCCAAAGGGTTTACAACTCATGGTTTCTGGATACTTTAAAAAAAAAAAAAATACTACTCTCATCTACACTGGCGGCGTCCATGGCTTAGGCGTTGTGAGTCCGACTCGTAATTCCAACGTACCGCGATCGAAACCCACAGCTGGCTGTGTGGATTTTTATCGTGGTATGGGGCGTCGCAGGTCGACCCAGCCTAATATGGGTACCAGGATGGCTGTCCTGGGGAAGTAAAGACTGCCGGCGTAATGCTGACCACAGTACCCACCTAGTGCCGTTGGTCTGAAAAAATATGGGAGCTTTTCCCATTTTCCCGATGCGCCTAAAGGAGAGAAAGGGGATCTTTACTTTTTTACTTTTCATCTACTGTCGGAAAACTAAACAGTACTTGGCCTACCGTGTTGGCGTTAAACTGAGAAACATCATCGCAGCCGAATCATTAAGAAATAATTTGGAATACTTATTGACTGAAATACGGACAAAGTATCGAACAGCTTATGATTTTCGAAGATCCGCAGATCATCGACAAAGAAGAACCAACCAAGAATAGTACGTCACAGAATCATACTATGTAGTCACTTCATAATTAGTGCATATCTGTGTATGTGTGTTGTGTTGGTCGGCCCTGTGGCTAAGTCGATGCGATCGCTTCGTAATGCCGGGATGCCGGGTTCGATCCCAGCTGCGGGCCATACGCCTTGCGTTGGTTTCGACAGTGGTATCAAGAAAGCCGACCGTCCGGAAAGCAATGGCAAACTACTGGACGTAAATTTGCCTAGAAAAACCACACACCAGCCATGGGCTGTGGGGGTTGGTTCTGCAACGTCCTGTAAAGGATACGCAACTAACCTGTGTTGTGTTGTTCTTTATGTGCTGATGAAGGCTAATTGCCGCAATGTCTCTTGATTGTTCATTGTGATCGATTTTGTAAAGCTGACATAAACTATTTGTTCTTTCTGTTCCCCCCCCCCCCCCCCCCCTCCTATAATTTCCTACCCGTTTAAAAACTAGTAGAAGAATCATAGAACAGTCTTGGTTAGGTCTCAAAATATCTGACCACTGCGGCGGTCATGCGTGGGTGTTGCACATGAGATTAACCCTTTTTTCGTGCTGCATGCAGTTCTGGTGTTTTAACGCACTCACAAGCATTAGGTGTTAGTGAAGTTTTGGGTATATTCTGTTACAGCTAACCTAATCTTGTGTTTGAGCTAAACTATAGTCTGTTTACAGTCAAAGAAGCCAACGGCGCCTTCTCCGTGACAACCAGCAGCATGACGATGGAGGTGATGGCAGTGACGCAAGCGCTTGCCTGGCTTGAAACACAAAAATACACCCGCGTGTGTATACTCAGTGATTCAATGAGTATGATCCGGAGGGTTCAGGCAGGTTCAGTGCGAAGACAATGGCTTGAATCATTACAGAAGTCCACTGTGCGTGGAGTCACCTTTAT